AATAAAAATTTGGCAGAATAACTTTTTTACAGAGCTCTATTTATATTTAGAGTTCAAATTTAATGCCTTATTGGGACAGTTTAAGGGATATCTGTTATATATATTATATATATTCTATCTATTAGATATATTATATGTGTTATATAAGTTTTATATATTAGATATATTATATATATACTAGTGATTATAAGTAGTGTAACAAAAAAAAATTTTACTTAAATCATACTATCTCCCGCAATTATGGGCATATTGAGTAGTTTTTTTTTTATTCACCAATACCAACGTTTTCTAATTTAAGAATTTTAGTAGGTATCATTAATACCAATGCAAAAATAATCACGCATGTATCACAAAATATGTGTTGCATTACTTTTGCTGATTTTTAACAAGGATCATGTGATCTGTGTGATATAAATACAATTAAAAGTAAATCCCATTGTTAATTTTACATCTTGTACAATGCTAGATAATCAAAAAAAAAAGAAGAGCAAAACAACTTTCACCAAATAAGCCCAAGTATTATACTCGCTTCAGAAAGAGTCTATAACAAGGGCAGTAGGTCGGGCCTATAATATTTCCTTTACTACAGTCTCACAAATTAAAAAAAGATGATTAACAAACTGCTCACTTGAAGATTTAGCAAGGGTTGGTCATTCATCTTCATTGGGTGAACCACCCCAAAGAAGAATAGTAAACCTCATTATCTCCCATAAGTGCTTTACTGCCATTAAAGTGAGGGCTTATCTTGCAAAAAACGCAAATATGGATATTTTGATGTTTACAATTTACCATATACTTTGTAGCCATAGGTTAGTATCAGGGTTAAAAAAAAAAAAAAAAACTGTACCTGAGTGACAGTTATCGAAAAGCACAGCTTGCTTTTGCAAAAAAATATGAAAATTAGACCATCAATGATTGGTCTAAGGTAATCTGGTCTAACAAATCTAGATTTAAAATTTTTGGATTAGATGGTAAGCAATACTACTGGAAGCAGTATGGAGAACCATTAAATAAGTTCCATGTGAAGCCCACTGTGAAATAAAGAAGTGGTTCAATCATGATTTGGGGGTGCTTTAGTGCCCGTGGTGTTGGTAGCTATTGCAAGGTCGATGGCACAATGGATGGTAACTTGTATCGGCAGATACTTTGTAAAGACCTGATGTGGATGATTAGAAAACAAGAATTTGATGTTAGGGAGATAATTTTCCAACAAGATAAAACATCTTGTCATATGGCAACCTTGACAGAATGTTTGCTTAAGAGGAATAAGATGAAGTTCTTCGATTGGCCCCCCAATCCCCGATCTGAACCCGATCAAAAACCTGTGGGATAAAATCGACTGTTGGTTGAGGGATCTCCCTGGACAAATTTTGAGTGAGACAGATCTTTGGCAAAAGATTCAAGAGATCTGGCAGGCGATTGATGTTGAAACCTGCAGAAGGCTGGTTCGTTCGATGCCAGACCGAATTCGTGCTATAATTAGGGCTCGGGCGGGTACACCCGATGGTAAAGGTGGATAATTTTTAAATAGAAAAAAAAAATTTTATTTTTTTTATATAAAAAAAAATTTTTTTGGTTTACAGCCGTATTGCTGCAAAAACGAGCAAAAGTAATGCAACACGGCATTTGAAATAAAGCTCATGCCCATGAAAAATTTTGTTCATTGAATTTTTTTGTTTTTTTTATTGATGAAAACGTTGGTATTGGTGAATAAAATAAAAAAAAAAAACTACCTGATATGCCCGGAATTGCGGGAGGTAGTATGATCTAAGTAAAATTTTTTTTTTGTTGCACTACTTATGATTGCCAGTGTATTAGGTAGAATTAGCGAATTAGATAATAGCTGAAAAGTGTATATAAAGGCTAAGAGTTTGCCTTGAATAAAGTAATGACTAGCTATCACTAGTTAACATTCTACGCCTATAACTCATTAGAGTTCGACTCAATGAGAGTCTACCATTCCAACTTTAAAACATTCGCTATAATTACCCCCCCCCCCCCGATAAGTTCAATTCACATAGAATTAGTAGTCTAATCCCATGATCCCGAATTAGAGCCTCGTGACGTAGTCTATAGCTCTATTTGGCCCTAATAACTCGGACCAAGTCTTTCCACACCTTCTTTCGCGCCTACCACAATTAGGGTTGGATAGAGTTTAGTGGTTTGGTGTGTTGATTTAGATTAGTTTTAGTGTTAGTTGATATCCGTGAGGCCCATATTTGGAGAGACCGGGTCGATTCTGCCCCTCACAACGTATTATTAATTTTTACTATAGTTTTGATTAATTAGGATATGACGCACCCCAATGTAATATCTATGTCACCGGCGCAGTATCAATCAATCAGATTGTCGTTATGTTTGATGCAGAAAATGATCTTATCAATATTACAGTACTAACAAACAGACCCTGTTCTTTCGAAGATTAGCCTCGTAAATTTATCTTGAGCCAAAATTTTTATTATTAACTCTACATTAGAACATCCTCACTACATGCTTTTCTATAATAATCAAACTATAGCTCAAAATGTCTCGTGCACGTACTTCAGATGAAATTTGGTGGGCAAGAATTTTGGATAGAGTTGACGAATTTTTACATAATTATCCAAAATTACCAAAACAACTGTTACCAGAAAGCAGGTAGTGTATGTGTTGCATTAACTTATTACTAAGCAACAGCTAATGTGAACTTTGTATGAAGCTTGCCTTTAAAAATTGGCTCGAACATAACGATCAAAGATTACAATACTTTTCTTAGCAACCACGGGTCATCGGGATACAAATTCCAGTTTGAGTTAAATAGCGACGATAAAACTGGCAAAGTATACATAATTGGTATTGCTTCAGCTGTACGCGAGGATGTTATTTCCCGGCTTCAAGATTTTTTCAAGGTTCCAAACGGTGGAGTTGTTGACGATCCTCCCATAAAAGTTTCTGTACAACCTCGTAAGAGAATCTATTTTAGTTGCTTCGTATTATTGTGCTTCAATACTCATAGTCTTTTCATATAGTTCACTACAATCCTGATGGAAGTGGGGTTCAAATAGCTCCTGATGTTGCTGTATATCCAGATACAGCATTTGTTCCAAGGCCCGCTTTTTCCACCGTAATACCCCCTCCTCCCAGTGATGTAAATGTACGTTTTTTATTATATTTTGTTTCATATATATATAGTTTTTCATTATTATGGTTTATGTAGGGAAATCCACATGCGCGGATAATATGTGAGGTAGCAGTAGGCCAAAGTGTTGGTTATTTAAAACAAAAGTGCTTGACTTGGATGCGCGAACAATACGTTCGTGCGGTTAGTAGTATTAAGATTTTAAAACCAAGGCCAGGGATTCGAGAACCTACTACTGGTTATTTTTATAGAACAATGACGGTATATCATTTAATGATACCAAGTCAAGCATTGCATTTTTTGATATTTAATTGATCTATTTTTGTTAGGCGAAACTTTATCGTCAAAGAATGGCAACACAAAGATGGGATTTTGGAAATGTTAAAAAAAATTCAAGAGATCCTATCCGTGATCCTACTCCCTGTAATGCACCAAATTGACACATTTTCAAATAAATATTCCCATAGGTGAAGTATTTTGGGACCCACCATTTCCTATCCCACCTGGATATGTACCAATAATCCCCCCTGTAGTTACAGTCCACAATTTCGCTATTGACTTGTACCGGATACAACGGGTAGCTTTAAAAGCTGAAATGTGAATTTGAAAACTTCAAAACCGAATTTCATTATATGATAGCCAATATACAATATATTTTATCAATTTTGCTTAGTAATGAGGATGATAATGATAATGAGAATTTCTCCGATAATGAGGGAGATGATGATGATTAATATTGTGATATGTATAGCTTTAAAAAGATAGTTTCAATAAAAATGTAAAATTTCTGATAAGATGCTGGTTATTGTTACAATTTAAGTAGCGGTGCATATTAAAGACTATATAAAAATTAAATTATTTATTTAATAATATTAAAAGTTAAAACAATATATTAAGTTATAAACTATTAATTATGTATAATAAAAATTAAAATTATATTAAGTTTATTATTTAATAACATTAAAGCCCGATACTACGCACCGAATTTAAAAATAAAAATTATATTAAGTTTATTATTTAATAACGTTAAAGACCGGTGCAAAGCACCGGGTTAAGACTAGTTAAATTATAAAGTTGAATTAGAATCATATTTGAGTGGGTACTGTGTGAAGAACCGATTTTGTATATTATATAAATCAATATATGGGGGTGAGTCAATAGAAATCAAGCAAATTTTTTATAATAAAAATTTTTTATAACTTTAAGCAAAAATAACTTAACAAAAACATAACAAAATTTAATAAAAATTTTTTTAAATAATTTTTATAAACTTGTAGAATTAGTTTAAAAAAAAATTTATTAAATTTGATCAAGTTTTTGTTAAGTTATTCTTGTTTAAAGTTTTAAAAAAACTTATTAAAAAATATTTGCTTGATTTCTATTGACTCAACCCCATATGTAGTTACTTATTCAAGAACAGTTGGTAAGGATAGTGTAAGGATAGTGAGTTAATACCCGTATCTTAATCATGAGAGTATTATTTTTGGGAATACAGTAAGCAGTGGCCAACGATAACCGAAGAATTATCCATTTCCATTGATTTCTAATTCGTCACTTCCCATGGTCTACCTAATTTTGCAGATTCGAATGTTTGTTACAATATCGATATTGAATATTTCTCATAATTATTTCATTTTTAAACCCTAAATCGAGACCATTCTGCATAATTGTTGTGAAAAAAAAAAATCAAAGCAAGAACAAGTGACCTGTTCGCATCGCTAATTGACTGGAAATTTTTTCAAAATGAAGAAATATAATAGGATACCGAAATTATATTTTATTGTAAGGATTAATTTTACTTTTAATACATAGCATATAGTTAAGTAAAAAAATTTGGGGCCGATTATTTCAATCATTGCTGTGCCAATAAGAGATAAGTACGTCGTACAGTACGTGTTTGCTTTACCAGCTATTTGCGGATAAATAGCTCTATTCTAGAAGCTATCCTAAATTATTTGTCCGAAAATCCTAAAAACAGAAAAAACCATATTTTGCCAACTTTAATGTTTATAGTATAAACTACTAAATCTGAAAAGGAAAATTGATTATTCTGATCCAAAGTCAACTCAATATAGAGTCTTAAAATATAAAGTGAAAAATTGATGTTTAAATTAGCTTAGATCATTAATAACTAAGTAAATGATAGTATATACATTATAATGCTAATTATAAATTTATATTCTCACGCACTTAATTTATCTTCCTATAAATTCCCATTTCAACATTTATAATAACAAATAGGGTTTAAAAATAAATATTACCATTAGGTTTAATATATATTCCTCCATTTTACAGAATTAATTTTGCATGCTATGATTATGAATTTTATAAAATATAAAATGTGACACATTGTGCCACGTGTGATTAGGGATGTTAATCGTAATTGTCAGCCGACTTTGAGCAATATTTATAAAGAATTGGCATTTTTAACCGGTATTTGTCTAGTAAATAAAGTCATAGAAAAATAATTTTTCTGTTACATTTTCTAATAGAAGTTTATCGGTTTTTGTATTGGTTTTTGCGTAGTTTAAATGGGACCGATTAGGGACCGATTAGCTAAAATTTCTCCACACTGTTCGGTCCCTAATCAAAATTACTCAAAAACTAATGCAAAAACCGATAAACCTCTATTAGAAAATGTAACAGAAAAATTATTTTTCTGACTTTATTTACTAGACAAATACCGGTTAAAAATGCCAAGTTTTTATAAATATTGCTCAAAGTCGGCTGACAATTACTGCGGGACCGATTAACATCTCTACGTGTGATGCTAGTTCACTTATTAAACTGGATAAAAATTTATGAGGCACAGAATAAGGAATGTACTATATAAAGCGAGACAGGTTAAAATTCTAAAATTCGCTTTAATTGTGTTAGTAAGATCGATGCCGTTAATTATAAAGTGAATGCATTAACTTTGATTTTTGGGGGGATTTACAAATAAGGACCCAAAAAGGTAAAATAATTACATATAAGGACCCTATTTTAGAAAATTTACTATATCTCATGATACAGTGAATAAAATTTAATGATTTTGAAACCATCCAAGTCGTCTCATCAAGACGAATCGAATGGTACTAAAATTGCTAAATTTAAATTACTGGATAACGAGATATCACGGTTTAAACAGATTTTAGAAAATTGAATAGCTCGTAATACAGTAATTTAAATTAGCAATTTTAGTACCATTCGATCCGTCTTCTTGATGAGAGACTCGGATGGTATCAAATTCATTAAATTTCGTTCACTGTATCATGAGATATAGTAAAATTTTCTAAAATAGGGCCCTTATATGAAATTATTTTACTTTATTGGGCCCTTATTTGTAAATTCCCCTTTTTTTGTCATACTATCAGTATGTTTCAAATTTTAAATAAAAAAAAATTAATAAATTTGACGTAGTAGATGTCGCACAATAAGCATATTTGTATTTCCAAACTTTTTTTTTTTTTGCGTACATACAACATTATCGTTCAAAGTTTGATTGGCAAATATTCAAATTTTTTTTACTGATCCGAAATCTCAGATTACACTAAATCGCAAAATTTTTTGACATCAATAATCTAGTCTGTATGCATGTATGTATATACGTACACACGTATGTACTTCTAATTACGATAATAACTGCATCCTGTGCGATGCAACAAACCGATACTTGTTCCTAACACAAGGGTAACAATACACACACCATTTAACTTTCGAAACTTTTTAATTGCCTTTTGATTTTTTTTTTTTTTTTGTTATTAAAAAAAATACCACTACCGTTACATCTACCACATAAATGATTTAAGTTTGTCACCAACTATTTATTTAATTTTATTATCCCTTATTTAAATTGCATTGTAATATATATTTTTGAAGCAAGTTATATAGGTCTTACATTATGGAAGATGCCATAAGATTTAAAAATGTTAAATGTATATATAAAGGGATACAATAAACAAAAAAAAAAGCGAAATTTAATGCCATGTTGGTAATAATAATCTTGATCACTTTTTTAACCAGCCTACTAATAATATATAATACTTCTGGCAAAAGAATCCGTAACAAAATTAATAAAGATTTATTATCCTTATTATTCTTATTCGTAAACTCGATAGGCCATTTATTTGCCCTCTGCTATTCATGTTTTACTTCTTCGGCTAATGAAGAAGGTTTAATACCGTTACCGGGACCTCCAACGATTCCGTTTTTAGGGAACATTTACATGTTTCATCTACCTGTTCACAAATGGTTTATGAAAATGTCAAAAACTTACGGACCTATTTATAAACTTAAGATGGGAACGTTAAATTGGATCGTAATTAGTGATAGCAAGATTGCTAAAGAATTGTTTCTCACGCAAGGTGCTAATTATTCTTCTAGACCGGTATGTTGGGAATGAAGAAAACATAAAATTTGGGTTTAAAGTAAAAATCCATTAAATAAGTTTTTTGGATATTTAATAGTATACGAGAGTTACAACTGGAATTTATTCACGTGGAGGAAAGACTATTGCACTTTGCCCTGTAAGTAGTGAAGAGAGAAATTTTAGGATAATATTTTTCAATTATAATCTCACATATCATATATTTCTTAATTAAAGTATGGAAACTACTTGAAAATGGTCCGCTCATTAACCCAACAAGGTTTTCGTCCACAAATAATCGACACCATATATTTCCCAATAATAAAACAAACAGTTGTTGACCTGATCCATAAAATTTCTGGTTATAAATCTGCGGCTGTAATTCCTGACGACGATTTCGCTTATACTATTACTTTAACTTTAGCACTATGTGTATACGGTCGTACCTCACCAGAACACGGTAAAGTTCTAATTGACGAATACGTTAAAATAGTTGATGATGCTGTACCACTTATTTCTTTTAGTTCCTATGCGGCTGATATTTTTCCATGGATGAGATATCTTCCATTTGTACAAAAATCTGAAGCTCACGCTGCTAATATTCGAAATAATGTTGATAAAGCTTCTAAAAAGCTTAATGATGATCTTATAAAAAGAATGAAAGAATTTGGAGATAAAGAAAATAGTTTTGCTGCACAAATTATAAGATGCTGTAATATTATTGAAGAACCAATGCCATCCCCATTTGTTAAGGATTACCCAGGAAAAGATGAGAATGGGATGTATACAATCGATTGGTATGATTTTAATTACTTATTCTCGATGCTATTAATTGGTGGAAGTTCCGTCATTACCACAATGAAGTGGACAATTGGCTTCTTAGCAAAGTATCAAGATGTACAACAAAAGATTCAGCATGAAATTAAGGAAGTAGTCGGAGAAGGAAATACACCGACTCTGGAACAATTAGATAAATTATATTACATGCAAGCAGTTTTGAAGGAGATTTGGAGAATGAGGTATTTTATCTATAGTTTATTCTTTATAAAATTAACCTTTAAGACTAATTTTATATGCTACATTTTTATAGACCACCACTTTACTTTTTACTTCCTCATTCCCCTTCAAAAGATAAAGTATACCGTGGATACTATATTCCAAAAGACTCTTCATTAATTATAGATGTTATGAGTTTGCATCACGATCCATCTATATTTCCCAATCCTGGAATGTTTATTCCATCCCGATGGCTCAATAGTGATGGTACACTTAAACAATGTGATGATTTAAATGATATTTGGGTACGTATCATAACGATCGATAATTTTTTATCAAAATCATATTAATAATGCATGTTACTTTTATAATTTGAAGCAATTCGGTAAAGGTCGCCGTCGTTGTCCTGGGGACTTCCTTTCAGAACGAGTTATAAAAATGCTTTTATGTATGCTGCTAGCTTCATTCAACATAGAACCAGAGATTGATATGGTGACTGGGAAATTTGTTGACTTAAATCTAGAGGCTTACGAACACGGGACTGTGATGACGCCAAGGGAATATAAAGTTAGGTTTGTTAAGCGCGATAGCGTGACTTTTCCGGAAAAAGAGGAGTGACGGATATCAAAGATATTTTATTTGTCTTCTATTATTTCTCGATTTGTTAATTTATTATCATCTTTGAATTAAAAAAATTTTCACGGTTTAAGTTTGTTTTAAATGGCTTATAATAATAGATATTGTATTTATTTTAATGTTTTGGTGATAGGTGTCAGCAGAATGATAACAAGCAAAAAATGCATGGTCGAAGGTCATGTGCGTTGCTATTATTCTGTCAGTGTTCATGATCCGTATATTATGTTGGATAGCTAGTTTCTGGCAGGTATGACGCATGTTTTTACATTAATATAGGTCCAAATTTATCTCATGATTTTAACAGTAAACTGCGTAAATTTTTCCATTTGTGTTTGCATAATACGAACGTACGTACGTACAGTACGTACCTGCTACTTATGTAGTGTGATCATTTTTTGCCATGCATGAAAATTACTAATCAAATCTCACGCGTTATTGCTATTTTGCAGAGATCGACAATTTCTGTATAATGATAATGTTAGATACCGACCTTAGTACAGTGAAACCTCTCTAAGTGCACGCCCTTGAGACCAGGCTACAGCGTGCACTTAGGGAGGATGTGAATTTATAGAATTAGTATTTTTTCCTACTCTACTACAACAATTGACAGTATTCGAATCTTTCCGATGACCATGCTTATCCTTTGTGTTTATTTATTATCTACAGTACCTCCCGGAAATATCCGACAAAACTACCATTCCAATAGCATAGAGGGCTTTCATTATGATTGGCTAATTTTTGTAGATCATTTTGTGACATACCAGAATTTGATTGGCTAATAGAAAATAAGTTCAAAGTAAAAAATTCATTAATAAAAGAATATTAAAATTATAAAATTTTATTCATAATGATAATATTTAATGCTTGAGTTCTAATAGTTATTGTCAATTATGCATCAGGTCAACCTTAATTTAAAAAAATAACATCTTTAAGCTTAACAATTTATTGATACAATTACATATATAAATAACCTTTATTGACTAAATCGCTTGCTACTATATAGCACATACAGTTAAATAATTTACTAAAATAATATTAATATAATAAATTATAAAATGTTAATTATTAGTAGGTAGATTATATGCTTATAGAGAGTATAAATAGTATATATAAAAACCCCAAAATTAACTACAAAAACATTGCACATGTTTTATACTACTTTATATTTAATATGCTATAATTCTTAAAACTTGATTGAATAATTTATATTCAAAAAAAATATGTTTGAATTATTATTTATAAATTAATAAGATAAAAAAAAAATAGTAACACTTATTAGCCAAAATATAATTTATCACACTAATTACTAGTCTCTATAACAAAAGTATACCCCATATAGTGATTAGACCTATCCAACTCGGGTAACCTGTCAGGCTGATTCGGGTAGACTGATGGGTATTCCCAGCCAATCACTAATGTTTGTTTATATTGAATAAAATAGAATATGTAAATTCTATTTTATCTAATATAAACAAACATTAGTAATTGGCTAGAAATACCTAGCAGTTTACTTGAATCAACCCAATAGGTTACTTGGGCCAGATGGGTTCAATTACTAACCTCATAGCTAACTTCTAAATTACTTCTCTGTTCTTCAAATTATTTTTACTATATATAATGTGAGAAGTGTAGTTTGTGAATATATATTTAGTTTAGTTTTATAATTTATTTTTATAGTATACAATTAAGGTTGGCAATAGACTATAATACCTATAGTTTCTAGATAAATTGTTAATAAATATTGTCTATTGGGCAAATAAATATAATCTATTGGTATTTGCTAAGCCATATTTTGGTCCATTGGCTAATCTAGTACATAATTTATTTAAAGCTAGATAATATATACAATATATATATATAGTGATTGGACCTATCAAAAAAAATGCCACCCGGGTCACCCGCGGGTGGATCTATGACCCACCCGGGTAGAACCCGGGTGGGTTAAAAAAGCAACCCATCGGGTGGACTCCCAAGCCACCCGGGTGGAAATAGATCTACGAAATATGATTGGTCAATTTTTTATCAATTAAATGTATAGCGATAGTAGATTTTTTGACTTTTCGCTTTGAACCTTTAGCTTATTTGATTTTTAATCTGATTTCGAGATTTTTTGGATATACGATACGTAAATTATGGTGATTTTTATTTATAAAGATATTTA